GCAATACGCAGCGCTTATATACCGATTACGAGCACTCAAAGCAGCCCACATATGCACCGTCATCAGCATTCACATTCTCAATTTGGATTGGGACATTTCATGATAAGGCCCGAAATGCGATGGGAAGCGATGATAGTAGGAAGATACGGCCAACGCATTCGGGTCTGTAGCGTCCCTGACCAACGAGCAGATCGGCAAGGCTTTTAGCGTCTCCCGTCTCGACGCGCAACGGCGGTTAGGCTTAGCATTGCACCTGCTGCTGCTGCTGCTGCTGCTGCTGTTGCTGCTGTAGACCAGCAGAGCATATAGTGCCATCTTCAGGCTGTGCACGCAGAGGCCCGATACGACCTTGAGCGAGATGCAAGTCCGATCGGACATCAAATACATCGAGCCCGCAATCACGCTTACCTTGACCAGCCCAACGTAAGCAACTCGTAGACGCACACGCATTCGTTGACTGATCCTCTCAGTAAAGCTTAAAGTCTGCATGATCTTCTTGATTGCTGGTGTCGCTGCACAGTCGTGAGCGTGAGTCATCTCTCAGCTCGGTCAAGGCATTTGGAGTCAAAGTCAGGTCCGGATCGCGTCAACTTTCATGCGCGGAGAGGAGCATCGCAGTGACATTTCATGTGAGTGCCAAGCAAAGCGACCCCGCGTCGCTTTGTATTCACCCATCATAAAGACTTTCCCGCGAGCAGCACAGCACCCCCATGCACGATGCTCAAGACGCCTGCCTGTATACCAACGATTCAGACCCTGTGTTGACTCGCATCCCTTTGAAAGGTTCCTGATCTGCTCTGCCTGAACTCATCCATGCGGCCAGCCACAAGAACAATCATGAAAGCATCGCCCCCGTGAATAGGATTGAAACGTGGCTGAACGATGTGCCGCCTGCTTATTGCACTTTCGTCAAGACATCGTGACATTCGAGACTTCCCCAAAAGCGCCTACTGTAGGTAACGCCGAGCACATGCGGGCGTCACAAAGAGCAGAGAAGATGTGCGAAGCGTGGCTGCAGGACATGCTTGTGCGGGTGAGAGTGAAACATGCCAAAGAAGAGCGCGTAACGCAGAGGGAAGCTTTTGCAATTCATCACCGATCGGAATCGCTGGCGGGGCTCCCACTTTCGGGGGGCAGAGCCTACGACAGGAACCTCGAAGTTGTGGACGATGGGTTGCCTACACCTGCGCGCTCGCACGCGTCTCCAATGTCCGAGGTATTTAGACAACCGTCAATCCCAACGAGCCACTTTCCAGATTTGCCTGCGCCAGCGTGTCAGAAGCAGAAGGCGTTTCGCCCTCCGGATGCGTGGAGTCATTGTTGTTAGAATGCTGTTGCGCTCGACGACTCGCAAGCGTAGTAGAGCCAGAAGAGATGGAAGATGGATACGGCGGATCTGTCCGCGCATGAGATGATGCTGCCCAAGAGTCAGAAGGAGGAGCAAAAGGTGGCGGAGCAGTAGTCAACTCGCTCGAAGTGCTGCCTCTTCTTTCTTCGTTGTCCTCTTGCATTCCTCCCATTGCCCATCTATACCCTTCCCTCCCCACCCCGTCCTCGTCCGCAGAGGGCGAAGGGGAGGGGGAAGATTCAGCAGGAGATCTGAGGGATGACAGGTATTCCTCTTCCGTGGCGTATTGAGCTAGACCCAAAGGTGCGTTCATATTGGACCGCTGAAGTCTGAGGGGGGTAGCAGGGCCCACCCTAGTCGCATGAGCAGGCGTAGGCATGTTCCTGGAAAAGTAACTAGTGTTCCACTCGGAAGGTACGGCCATGGAAGTATCGTCCACCGTCTCGTCGTTAGCTTGCGTAGAATGCAGGGTCGAGGCTTGACCTGCAGGCGTGGCTCTCGTACCGTGCTTGATCGCGCTCTGCGGTAACCAGCCCATCCTGTTGGTGTTGCCCCTGGCACCATTGGAATGCGCCAAACCGAAGGCCGAAGCTGCCGTCGCAGACGCTTTCTGGTTGGGTCCCTTGCCCGTCTGATTGTCAACATCCGTGCTCGAGCCGACTCGCAACGCCTTGACCAGCGCGTCCGTGGACGCTTGCGCCTCGTCGTTGGAAAGTACACTAGCTAGCACCGTCGTCATCTGCAGCAATCTGGGCGAGATGATATTCCTTACGGATTGTTGACCCATCGAATCGTAGCCCAACTCCGAAGCGACCGAATAGGCCGCATTTCGAGCGCCAAAACCAGCCTTGGAGCCGGCCAGTGCTTCTCCCTCGTATTCACGTATATTGTGGAAGAGCAACACCAGACGCTCATAGATGGGCAGGATCACGCAATCCCTAAATCCGATCAGACAAATTCTCCTCACATCTATCTTTTGCGTGCTCCTTCCCGAAGCTGCGAGGGCCGTGCCGGCCGCTGATGTCGGATTGTTGGAAATGGACATAGCTGTATTGATGCTCTGATTCGTCGAATGTGAATGATTCGACTTGGAAGGCGCATGTCTAGATGGATTTGGCTGAGATGGTGCGCCGCTGGTCTGATCAGGGTCCGATGACTTTGTAAGACTGAGCAGGACGGGGTCCGTCTGCAGCGGCAAAAAAACACCTTCTAGGTAAGGCAATACGCTGCCAAAGAAGAATATCCACAGCTCTACCAATCGTTTCAAAATTCTCTGGTCATCCTCTAGCACGCCCGAAGCTTGCAGCTTCGCATTGAGCGTAAAACAAGCCGTGCTCATCAGGTTGCAAAGGTCCGAAGAGAGCGAGTCCAAAGCTCTAGCTGGCGATTTGTCCAACGTTCGCATAATGTGCAGCATGACGTTTTGGTTCAGATCTTCAATGGGCGCCTTCAACCCTTCGCCGTTGAACAGAGGCAAGACTCGTATGCAAACGTTTTGCCAAATGTCCGACACGGGCGTTGGGCCTGCCAAGCCTGAAGGACCAGACGCTTGCGCTGAAGGCGCATATGGTCCAGCTGCATTGTTCGAGCCCCCTTCAGTGCCGAATTGCAATTGTGCCGCAGCAGCGGGAGAGGGCGAATATTGCGCATTAGCATTGGCTACACCTGCTGTTGCAGAGGCGGAAAGGGAGCCTTCTCGAACATGTTGAGGAGATTGTGAAGCTGAGGAGGAGGGTGCCTGCTGCTGGTGCTGCGCAGCATTGCTAGCAGGTCCTTGAGACTGTTGCCACTGCAGCTCGCCGCCGTCCGCAATTCCATTACCGCTCAGCATAGCGGATGCGTTTCCAGCCCTTTCCAATTCTTTCAACATGAAACTTGCATCGTAATTGCCCACACTTTTGGCCGACTGTCCAGCAATGTTGTTCAGGCTGTTGCTGCTGCTGCTAGGCGCTGCTGATGATACCAGAGGCAGCCTGGAAAAGACAGCGTTGGCGCTAGAGGGGGGATGAGGGGGAGACGCACCATCGCCCATCGTGCTGGCGGAAGTCTGCGTCAGACCCAATGCTCCGCTCAACTCGTCCATGGCAGGCGTTGTGTGAGGCATGACCAATCCTGTCGGCCCGCTAGCCAGACCCGACGTCGATCTGGAAGCCGTGACTTGCACACTTCTCAAATGCTGAATATTGTTCTGCTCCACGATCCTCACGTATGTAGGTCTTCCTGACGATGTGCCTGTGGGTAGGATGGACCCCGAAGGACTTGTCCTCACATGACCATTCAAATCGATGTGCGACTCCTCCAGACTATGGGAGCGTAGTCTGCCTGGTGACATTTCCAGAGCAGGATCTGCCCCGCCGCTAAGCATCGGCACGGCCAGCTCAATGGTCGTAAAGCCGGTATTCTCCAACCTGACGCGAGTGTAGCTTAAACGGGGATCAGGCCAGGGCGATCGACTTGTCAGACTGGAATCGTGCAAGGACATAAAGTACCGCAGCAGCTGTACAAAGAGGGCAACAAAGCGGAGTCAGCCTCTCGCATGTCTATGCTGCCTGCCTGCATGTGTGCGCTGAACCGACCTCTCGACTGGACATGGCACCCGCATACATGCGCTCCATAAGGCATTCACTCACCTCTGCAATGGCAATGCCGTGCGCCACGACGACGATATGGCCACCTTCGACGCTAACGCCAGGTCTAGCAGCGCCCGCGCTCGTAGCCAAGCTTGCCCGTCCATCTGCTGCACTGGGCGCATTCCTCAAGCTCTCCACCCTCGGTATGATGTACCTCCTAGCCGCGCTCCTCATTCTAGCCCCCACATCCTCAAAGCTCTCTCCACCACCCTCAAACTTTTTATCCCTATCATCGTTCGCAGTAGGAGGTTTCCAATCCGTCTCCTTCCAACTTTTCCCCTCCATCACTCCAAAGTATTGCTCCCTCAAAGCTCTGGTGTGAACCAGTGTGGGCGGAGGAACGGTGTGATTGGAAGCTACTAGGATTTCAGCAGTCTCGCGCGCTCGTTTGAGGTCGGAAGAGTAGACGGCCAGCAGTTCGGACCATTGGAAAGCTTTGCCTAGCAGACGAGCTTGCGATCGACCCAGAGAGGTCAAGGGCGCATCCCGATGACCTGCCAAGTAGCCATTCGCATTATCCTCCGATTGCGCATGACGCACCAGCGTGATGGTCAGTGTGGACAACTGCATCCTGACTCAGGCATCGACCGCCCCTTGGTCCAGAGTGTTGGGGTGTGTGGTCCGAGTAGCAAATGCTTTGGAGCGCCGTAGAGACGCGTGGACGATACGCCAAAGCCGAGTCGCACTAGTGACCGGCGCGAGTCATGTTCCTCGCGCCCCTTGTTGCCTGTTGCAGAGCACACGTCAGCAGAGGTCGGGTCGCAACAGAGGAACGTTGAGGGATCAAGTGTGAGCTACGAGTGCGAGGTGGAAGCTATGCTGCGTGTGACTAGCGAAGCGGCTTGCTGATGCTGATGCTGATGCTAATGTGAGCAGGTGCTGCTGCCAACGCGTGCTGTGCAAAGCAAGCAGCAGGCAAGCAGCTATGCAGCACAAGCCCAATCAGTCTGATCGCGTCATCCGCGCGCGCAGCGAGACGATGCGATCGATGCGCCCGCCTAGCGCGCTCCGGCAGAGCGGATCTCCGCGGACTTTGCGGTAGCTACGTGCGTGCGTGCGTGCGTGCGTGCTTGCATGGCATGGCGCTCGATCGAAGACGGCACTGTGACTCGCGACTCACCCACTCACACTCGCAACGAAGCATACGCATACATTCCCCTCCCACTCTCACTCACTCACACCGAGCTTCATCGCATCTCCAAAGTCCAGTGCGCAAAATGTACTCCCTCTTGACGGGTCTGTACAGAGACTACAGCAGCGTCCAGACGCGTTGCGTCTTGCTTCTAGGTCCATCTCAATCCGGCAAGACTGTGCTATTGACGCGTATCAAGGCCTACTCGCAAGCTGAACGAGCGGGAAGCATTAAAGCAGAGCATAGCAAGAGGCTGGAAGAAGAGGACGTGTATGAGCGCTTAAAGAGGAATGATGAGCTCAACAGCGGTGTCAAGGTCAGAGGCATCGCACCCACCGTGGGTCAGAACGGTGAGTAGCGCCAGTCTGGCAGGCAGACTGTGTGTGCATGCTGGAATGCTCAGCCGCGCACTCCATCCATCCATCCATCCATCCATCCATCCATCTCCCCTCGCCAATCCTCACTTGTCGTAGTGCACACCTTCCAACCGGCCTCTTCGCGCATACAATTGCGTTTCTGGGATCTAGGCGGCTCTAAAGCTCTTCGAGCCATCTGGCCACGCTACTTCAAAGAGACGCACGTGATCGTATGGAATGTGGACATTGCGTATTGGATAGACTCTAGCGATGCGGGCGAGGTGTTTGGCGAGTCGCAGTCGAGGCTAGAGGAGGCAGAGCCAAGTGCGGAAAAGGTTCGGAAGGTGCAGGAGAAGGAGCAAGAGCGAGAAAGGGAAGATGAAGAGAAGGAAGAGGGCAAAAGAGACGCAAAGCAGGCTCTCGGTCAGTTCTCTGCCTTGGGCTTGGATTATTCCACTGTACTGCACTGCACTGCACTGCACTGCACGCATCTCTTGCGCTTCTCAGCTGACCCTTGTCATTTGGTACGTGCGCCTCATACGCACCTTGCTGCAGAACCAATCTTGCGCGACGCATCCCTGCGATCCGTCCCTCTGGTGCTCTACATCACGGACCTTGGTCTTTTTCGTCGTCTCTCCTTAGCTGTTCTCGAAGCTCTACAAGATTCCTCCTCCTCCACCAGCAACACGCCGCTCAAACAGCAAGCGGCACTGTGCAGAGTGGAAAGGTTGGCAGAGGATGCGTTAGGTAGATGCAAGGATGATCTGGTCAGCTGCATCGTTGCGCTGGGTAAAGAGATCAAGGTTCTTTGCGGATGGAAAGAAGGGTGAGCTGCATTCCAACCGCTCCTTTCTTGGCTCCGTCTTTCCTCGACATTCTTTCGATGCGCTCATGCTCTTTGACAACCCCATTTGCCCCCCC